AAGCATCCCTGGACAGGAAAAGATAGGTAAAATAAAATTTATTTGATTTGTTTCAAATTTGGACTTACTGTGTTTTTTGAGTGGTCACCCCATAACACAACCCTTTAGCACCCAGGGGTCCTTTATGTCTATTGGAGTTCCAATTTCCTGGGATCACACCTGGTCCTCAGTCTCCATTAGGGTTCTGGTGTCCTTAGGACAGGACCCCTTTAAAGATAACCCCAGCCCCTTCTGGTCAAGGCACATAACTAGTCCCCAGAAAATGTGAGTAAACTTGAAACTGACTATGTGAGATCCACTGACATTGGCAGTACTAGGGCATAATTGCTCACCTTTCAGTTGTTGGCAAATGAGGATGTCTACAGATTCAATTACAGCTGGAGAGCATCCTACACCCAACTGCAGCAAGTCTTAGAAGGATGCTGACCCTGCAACCAGAGTAGAAAAAAAGCCACAAGGTCAAACCCACCTTCAGGTCACCCTGTCTTTATTCTGGTCTTGCCAATTTCAGGAGCCATTCCATCCTATTTCTTAAGCCGAGTGTAGGTGACTTTTTCACACTTGCAACGTAAAAGTCTGATCAAGTTCAATAGCCTACCAAAGTTCTTATGTATTTAGATGTCTCCACCATGAGGGTGTCCTGAGTCCCACCAGGTATGTCAGCCATACATCCAACATTTAATTTAAAAAATGAGTCATTCCTGACAGGGAGGGCCTCAAAAATGCAGATAGTGGTTCCATAACTTGGCTATTGTGAGTTGTGCTGCTATACACATTGAAATATCTACATCCCTATAGTATACTGCTTCTAGTTCTTTTGGACAAATTCCATGGATAAAGAATATATATACAATGGAATTTTACATATCCAAAAAGAAGAATGAAATTATGGCATTTGCTGATAAGTGGAAGGAACTAGAGAACATCATGCTAAGTGAAATAAGCCACAATAAAAAAATCAAAGATAGAATATTTTCTTGCACATGCAGAAGCTAGAGAAAAAATAAGGGAATAAAAATGGCAGGGGAGCCTATGAAAATAGGAAGGAGATTAATGGACTAGGGAAAGGAGATTGAGGGCAAGGAAGGAGGGACAAGAAAACTGCAGAATGAAATTAACCAAATTATGCTATGTACATATATGAACATACCACAGTAAATTTCACCTTTATGTATATCTATAAAGCACTAATTTTAAAAAATTTAAAAATAAATAATAGTAGAGCACAGAAGGTGAAACAGAGGGAGGGAGGAGGGGAAGAAAAGTAGAAGTACTAGGAGTTGAAACAGAGCAAACTATATTCTGTGCAAGTATGAATATGTCAAAATTATCTCCTTTATTATATATAACTATAAGGCACCAGTAAAATTTTTAAAAGCATACAATGTTTCTGATAATCCAGCATATAATAAATGCTCAGCTATCAGTTGTTAAATGAGTCAGGATTAAGTCTGTCTGTGTGTGTGTGTAGACATTTCATATATGACAAAGTTATATTTTCCACTTAAAGTAGAAAAACTTTAGGCTGTGGATAAAACTTTACATAAATGTAAAAAAATGCGGATGCTACCCAGAAGTCTGGGAAGTATGAAAATCCTGAACATAAATCAAGTTTTGGGGACATCACAAAAACCACTGAGCACTTGGGGAGACAAAGGACAGGGACAGACCACAGCCTCTTGCCCTTCTCCTTGACTTGTTCTGACTGGCTAATATTATACAGACTTTCATTAGAAGCATTAATCTGCACGCTGAAAACCTCTGCTCCCCTCTTGGGGTTAACTTCTGCTTAACATTCAAGATAATATTTAAATATACTGAGAACAATGTAACAAACACCCATGGACTCACCATTCAGAAGTGATGTTAAGTTAACCTTGAGCTCTGCTCTAAGATCCTGAATTTCAGCAGCCTCCACCAAGGCCTGGGTTCCAGCTACAGGGCCCCAGCTTGTTTTCCTATAGCAGAACCCATAGGCAAGTACTAATCTTTCCAAATCTTCCCTCTTCTAGTGTCCTTGGAAATGCTCTTGCCACAATTCTAACCCTCATTTCTGACTCCTTCCTTGTGTTCATCCCCATGTGAATGATTCTAATTCTTGTCATTTCTATCCCAAAATGCACCTCCAGGTGGTTCAGGTCTCACCATCTTGATCACCTTTCTCTGGTTCTAGTCACCATTATGTCCCCTGGGCTCCTAGTCGACCAGTTGACTCCTTTGTGAACACTGACCAAGGTCCATCTTTCAAGTCACACAGACTATGGGATGCAGGGCAGTGGGCAAACAATGCCTTTGAGAAAATTAGAATCAAAGCCTTTTCTGTTGGCCTTGCCTTGACAAATGGCACAGGCTCCACAAGACGCCTGGGTTCTAGCTACAGGGCCCCAGCTTCTGTTTTCCTATAGCAGAACCAGGCTTCTTGCCTTGACAAATGACGCGGGCTCCATTTTACTTATAGTAACCCTCCTAGGCCAGGTGAGCTTGTAGGAAACAACCTGCCACCTATACCTGGGGCCTGTATCTCACTCCATTTCTGCAATTACCTCTTAGGGTATCTGCTTCTACTCCTGTCTCCTCAGATCCATTCTCCATGTGCAGTCACAGTGATGCATGTACACACACACACACACACACACACACACACACACACACACACACCCTTGTCTCTCCCCCAAATCCCTGATTATGTTCATTCTCAGTTAAAAACATCTCTCTATGGTCTCCTGTACTCTGGAAATAGGGTCCATGCTGCAGGCCCTGTATGGCCAGATCCCAGTCAACTTCACTTACTCCCTTTCTCCTTCTGAGGCCATTTCCTAAAAGTTTTGCCTTTGTCCTGCCTCAGGGTTGACAGCTGCCTCTCTACCCTCTGAAAAGCTTCTCCCGTTGCCTGTAGAAGTCAATAATTCTTTGGTTGTAGTTCAAGATTCCTCCCTGGGAAGCCTCATTATCTTCTCTCCCAGCAGCCCATGAATCTGCCTCCACCTCCTGGCCCTTGTCACAACTGTGACGGTATCCACCTGTCTCCCAGATACCCAATATTCCTAAGAAGCTCCTTTGATATAAGACCTCACCTGAGCCACGTCTCTGCTCATCCTGAATGCTCATTGGCCCCTGGCTCATAATAAGCCTGAGTGAAATACTTCAAACCAATGCTGGATTCTGTGTCATTCTGCTCAGAAAGTCATGGGAGGAGAAAGCCATATTTTTTACTTATCTGTGAGGTTAGGGCCCATGGCAGGTTGAGTTCAGTTTTGGAAGCATCCATGAGAAGGAATTTTGTGCTTTTGTTTTGCATTTGTCTATCTTGGGTACATCCTCAGCTAAAATACATAAGAAGTGTGTTGGTGTTGGCCCTGAACAACCCATGCCAGGAGCCTGTGAGCACTGCTGGCTGCTGAAAAGGATATCTGTGGCCCAGGAGGTGCAACAACAGCTTAGCTAAGTGAAGGAGAGGAGGTTAGTGTGGAGACTGCCATGGATAGATTTTTCTTAGACCAGTAGAGTTGGGCAGGGAGAAGCCTGGCTGTGATATACCTTGTTGTTGAACTAGGAACTGGACTTTGGCTTGTGATAAGAGTGTAGGGTGAATAGCACACACCTCAAGCTTCTATCAAGTATGTGCAGGGGACCAGAGTGGGCCTCAGACAGGGCCAGGTATGCTGGAGAAGAGGTGCTGTAGCTTGAGGGGAGAAGGCCCTTATAAGGAAGCCCTCTCATAAGGATGAGAATCCCTAGGCTGTCCCAAAACCTTCTCCTCTCAGGTGAATTCCCTAGGAATCACACAAGTGAATGAACTTGTGTTCCCTGCTCTGTCACAGCCTAGCTCCTTGATTCTATGGGTTTTTGTTTTGTTTTGTTTTAGCAAAAGAGCTTTATTAAGAAGATTAAAGTGATTATATGCTAACTTGAATAGCTAGGTTGCACAAGAATGGATCTACAAATCCATTTTCCTCTTTTGATGTCTTCCAAGACTTAGACCCCTGCCTTTATCTGCACCTAGTTCTTTCCTCAGACCTAGAAAAAGTAGACAGCCTGTCCCAAATAACTTATGATTCCTCCTTTCTCTTGTACAGAAATTCTGACCATCCCTAAGATAATTTCTTCTGAACCAAACTTTCCTCTTCTCTCCTAGCCTGTCCCAGTAGGTACACCTTAATTCTAAGGTTTATGATTACCAAACTTCCAGAGCCAGCTAAATGAGGTGTAACCTAGGTCTGCTCCCCCAAAGTAGGGCAGGCCTTCAACGTTCACTCCTGATGTCAATCAGTGGCTTACTGTTGAGGCCACCCTGGAAATTCTCAGTTCTCTGGTAGCAGGTAAGTGGACGCAGATGCAAGGGCGGAAGTCTCCTTGTAGGCCTAAAGTCTTAGGACCTTCCTAGGGCTCTCAAGACTGGAACGTTTCTGGTCCTTGACCCTTTTGTCATTTCAGGAGTATAAACTTTCATAATCAGGGGAAGGAGCATTTGCTAAAACTTCTGTTTGGGAATACAGGATTTCTATAGTGTATGACCCTGGAAAGGGACCAAAGGAGGTGACAAGGGGTCTAACTGCCCCAGGTGCCATGCCAATACAACAGATCTTCAGAGTGTTCATGATAGGGTATTGAGGGAGGAGAAGGGATGTATATATTAATGCTTCACATAAATATTCTATTAATTCCTCAAAACAACCCCAGAAGGCAGGTTTTACTCTGTATAGTAGATGAAGACACATGGGCTCAGAAAAGTTAAGAAACATGCCTAAGGGGAACCAGAAAAGGGAAGAATCATGATTTAATTACATAATTCTGACCCTATTCCTCATATTGGTGGTAACCTGCTCCCCTCAAGTGTGACAATAGAAAGACACACCCTTGAGCAGGGTCTTCGTGGTTCCTGGGATTCTGGAAACTGTGGGTCCTTCACAATTCTTCTTTTTCCAAGGCTGCTCTGAAGGTATGCATGCAGGTGTAGCTGTCTCTCCTGGACCTTGAATTTTCAACATAAAAGTCTCCCCATGGCTCCTTATCACATCCGCAAATACCAAGAGAGTGATCACAAAAGGGTTCTGGCCCTGTTCTCCAGTGGGATGACTGAGCATATCCCCACCTCCTTCCACTACATGCTGATGCAGCCCCAAATCCTCTTGTTCTTATTTAGAGTGCCCCTCACCCTATTTCTGCTTACTGGCTCCTTATGGTCATGACCAGCTTTATCCTCTTGGCTTTCCTGTGGCTCCTGGCTATATACACCTGGAGGAAGTATATGATCATGTGTTTGTGCATAGACCTGGCTGACATCACCAACTCCTACATGAGTGCATGTGGATCCTGCTTCTGGGTAGCTGAGTCTGGGGGCCAGGTGGTGGGCATAGTGGGGGCTCTGCCAGTTAAGAATCCCCCCTTGCAGAAGAAGCAGTTGCAGCTATATCACCTCTCTATGGCCTTGGAGCACCGAGGTAAGGGGATAGGGAAAGCCCTGGTCAGGACAGTCCTCCAGTTTGCAGAGGTCCAGGGCTACAGTGAAATTGTTCTTAGCACCAGTATGCTGCAGTATGCTGCCCTGGCTCTGTACCAATGGATGGGCTTCCAAAAGACAGGCCAATCCTTCTTCACTAGGATTTCAAGGCTAAGGAATACTCCTATGATTCATTTAAGGTACCGCCTCCCTTGTGCTCAAGAAGGGAGCCTGTGAACTACTCCCTTGTATATCAGTCATGATCTGATTGAGTCTACTGTAGTAAAAAAACAAACCCTGGCATTTCAGTTATAAACAACAAAAGCTCATTGCTAGTACACATCTGAGTCCATTGTGTTGAATGGTAGAAATGGGGGAGATAGCAGGAGCTCTGCTCCATTTAGGCTGAGGTGCCTGTGCTTCATTTGTCTAGTGTTGTGAGCCACCCAAAGGCCATGTGTGTGAGCTATGCACATTTGAATATATGAGGGGATTGGTCTGGCATTGGGTGCTGATTGGGCTATGTGACACATGTGTGCCTTTCCTCTTGCTCTGCCTGTGATCCCACACAGTACCTGAGATGGGTGTGACTTGCCAAGATGTCAATCAATCTGCTGACCACAAGATATCACCAAGCAAGACTCCACCTTTCGAAACTCTATCCCTTGCCTTATTTTGGTAGAATATTCTAGCAAATGTCTTTTCCCCAATAAATAGGGGGCAGGGGGTTCGGGTGCACTTTCTTGTTTTTTCCAGTGCTGCCCAGCTTGGACTGACAGGGGTCACAGAACAGTCCCACACTTGAAACTCATGTTCGTGTGTTGTGTGGTTTCTCCGCTGTTTTCTTAGTTATTGCTGCATCCAGCTCCTTTCAATTCAGCTCATCTTATCAGCCCAGCAAGCAGGCGACAGTCTAGCTGGTAATGTTTCATTAAAAATAACACACACACACACACACACACACACACACACACACAATGACAAACCTTAACTTTGCTTATGAGCCTGTGGGCCAGCAGTTCTGCAGGGAGTGACTGGGTTGCATTCTGGGTCTCAAGTTGACTTTTCAAATGTCCTGGGTTGGCTGAAGTGCCAGTTTCACTGATTTCATCCTGTTCCAGCTCAGGCAGGGTTCAAAATCATTGCAGAGCAGCCAAAGCAAAGCAGAAAAGAGCAAAGGCTTTTCCACCACTCCTGCAGTTATTGCATGTGGCAACATACAAGATTCAGGAGAGAAATGAAGCTGGGTCTATAGTAGAGGAGCTGCAGAATCATGGAACAAAGGATGAAGCCCTCTGAGAACTGAGGCAGCAACTTGCTCCACCTGCTCTAGTCCCTAGTCCCTGCAGAAGGAAAGACGGTGGGAGGGGATAGAGTGGGGAATGTTTTCATGGGGAGATCTGGAATGGTATGATCCTCAGGATACTAGCTGAACACAATTAAATGGGCCAGCATATCTGAGGAGAGGTCAGGCAGGGAGTATTCCTATTTGTCCAAGAAGAGACAGCATTGGTAAACGTTCCTCATCTGCCACACTCAGAACATAGCCTGGTCCCAGTCTCTGGCCCCAAATGCTCAGGGACTTCAGATTTTCATAGGTGCTTTAGTCTGACCACATATTCCTATAAGCCTACATCTTTTCTGAGTGATGAAAATATTCTGGTATTTGACATAGTTGGAGTTTACAAGACATTGTGAATGTTATCAAATGTCACATACTCACATATTTTAAAATGGTTAATGTCTCAAAATAATTTGAATGTTTAAAGATATCGAAAACTCATAAATAGGATACAGGTTAGAGAGAGCAAAGAAGTTGAGGGAGTCTTATTGGGAGAGTTTCTGCTATGCACTCTGCTCTTGCCAAGTCACAAGCTTGAGCAGGAGGTGTCATCTTGAACCCCAAGCCTTGGTAGCAGAGACTGTGAAGGCACTTCTTGGTCCACTTGACACCATGTCCTCTTCTACCATGGAGCTAGACCACTGATATTTGACACTTGCCTTAGGAACACAGAAGTCACCGTCTGTACCCATAGAATTGGAACTTTGGAATGGTCAGATGTTGTGTGTGTGTGTGTGTGTGTGTGTGTGTGCACGCGCTGGGGGACGGGGAGGAGAGTGGTAAGAGAATGGAGAGTCTGCTTTTGCAAACTGGGGTTGTGGGCAATACGTAGTCTACACATGAACTGCAGGGATTCCAGAGAATGACAAAATGTAGATTTGCAATTTGTACAGGAACCTCTTTGTGTGAGTGTAGGGTAGATTCATGGGTTTCTAGAAAGTAGTAAGGAGGAAGGGCATGGTCCAAGTGACTTGGCCCTTCAGTATCTAGAATGCTGATTCCAAACTTCCATTCTCTTTAGCTAATAAGTAATTTATTCAATTTGAAGGAAAGGATTTTATATTGAATATAGTAAAAATTTAAAGACATTAAGGTTTTCTTTTATATAATACTTTACTAGTTAGTTAAACAAGAGTTAATTTTTCATTTTAGTTTTTGTTCCCCTGACACATGTACTTGCCTGGACACACAGGTGTGCACATTTGAGGACATAGCACATGCAGGAAGAGTCTGCCACCCTGGGCACTTTTAATGCTCCTACTCTTGACCTTCTTCCTTCTTTTAATATTTATTTTTTAGTTGTAGGTGGACACAATACCTTTATTTATTTATTTTTATGTGGTGGTAAGGATAGAACCAAGGGCCTCGCATGTGCTAGGCGAGTGTTCTACCCAGCCCAATCTTCTTCCTTTAAAAAAAAGTGGTAAAATATGTATAACATACAACTAACCATTTTAGAGTGCACGTTCAGTTGTATTACATTTATAATGTTGTATAAATATCATCACAGTCTATTTTTCATCATCCCAAACAGAAACTATGCCCATTAGGCAGTAATTCCCCATCTCCTCATCCTCCAGTCCTTGGTAACCTCTGTTCTGCTTTCTGTCTCTATGAATTTGCCTGGCCTAGGTATCACAAGTATGTGGAACCATTTAATGTATCCTTTTATATCTGGCTTCTCTCATTTAGCATGTTTTTGAAGTTCATGTCATAGTATCAGAATTTCCTTCATTTTTTAAAGGCTAAATATTATTCCATTGTATTTATCCTTTCTTCTTTGATGGGACGCTGTGATGGTTTCCACTGTTTGATAAGAATTCATTTACTTTTTAAAAAGGAAAATATTATTGTTAAACCCAGGAAAAAGAAAATACTTAAGATAGAGACTGAATTTTAAATTGGGGAGTCATTGGGAGGAGGGTTTATGAGTTACTTTTTGCATTTATTACAAACCAGTTGGTTATCTTGTGAATAAAATCAATGTGAAAGTGTCCAGATTTGCACATTGTGGACAACTAATTTAAAATGTGCTCATATGGGGATTGTTATAAGAAGTCTATTTTAGGAACAACTGTGAAGGAAATATAGGCATGTGACCAGGTGGCCAACTGGAGTTTTAAAACTATCCTCGCTGACTGGAACAAATGGTGAGGTGAACAGTCTACTTTCCATTAGAGGAATCAAACAGGACAACTGTTCTGTATCAATCCCTGCTGTGAGGGAACACAGCAGAGAGAGGATAGCATAGCACCTGAATGTTCCTCTGTTTAGCCAATGTGCCCCCTGTGATAATCTTGGTGGGTTGTTAAGAAGGGAGGGGCACACGCTGATTCAAGCAGTTGCCAAATGAGGCATAAAAGTACCCTCTGGGACATGTGAGCATCTGCTTGGCTGTGGGGCTAGTAACCAGGAAGGCAGAGCATCTTGATGGAATACTGAGACAGAGCAAGAAGATTGGTGCCAGTGGAATTCACAACATGAGGCATTCTGAGAGGTGAAAGGGGAAGAGAAGGTCTATTGGGTGCAAAATAAGGTCCTCTTCACCCAAGAGTGGGCAGGGGAAAATGAAGAGCCAGACAGAAAGGTGACCTGGGTGGGTGGAGGACACAGTATGCTGCTCTACTCCCCCACACTGCTGTATACATTGCCTGAAAGTCACACAGCCACCTCTTCTCTGACTGCCTTATACACATCTCTCTCCCTCCTGTTCCTTTTTTTTTGGGGGGGGGTGGTGCTAGGGATTGAACCCAGGGTCTTGTGCATGCTAGGCAAGCACTCTACCAACTGAGCTATATCCCCAATCCCCACTCCCTTCCTTTTTTCACTTTAAAATTGCTGTCTTCTTTTCCTTTTAGATAATTTTAAAGTTTAGTTTGAACTCATGTTGACAGTATGCAGTTTTCTTTTTTGTTTTACCTTAATTTATGTTCTTTTAGGCTTTCTGAACCTACATCTTCTCCTCCTTTTATTGATATTAGATAAATTTACAAATTCTTAGCTTTATCATTTCTTTTATTTAAAAAATTATTTTAATTTTTGTCTTCTGTTGGTATTTTACTACTACTCTTTTTTTTTTTTTTTGGTATTTGGAATTGAACCCAAAGGCATTCTACCACTGAGCTTTATCCCCAGACCTTTTTTATTTTTTAAATATTGAGATAGTGTCTTAAGTTGCCCAGACTGGCCTCAAACCTGTGATCCTCCTGCCTCAGTCTCCCAAGTTGCTGGGGTTACAGGTGTGAGCCACTGCATACAGCCTTCTTGATATTTTAAGTTAGGTCTTTCAATTTCAAGCTATTCATTTTAAAAATTTGATTTTTTAATAATTTTTATTTCCAATAGTTATAATTCCTTTCATTATATTTCATTTATTGAAGCTATACACATAACACTCCATTTTAATCATTATTTTAAAATTATGATTCAGTGGCATTGAGTACATCCACAATATTGTGTAACCATCACCCCTGTCCATGCCCACAATATTTATCTTGTTTCAAAAGAAACACCATACCCATTGAACACTAAATACCCATTTCCCACTTTTTTCAGTCCCTGGAAACCTCGATTCTACTTTGTCTCTATGAATTTGACTATTCTAGGCATCTCATGATGCTGTTTACTGGATCTTCCAACTCCTTGAAAGTTGGTTTTCCAAAGGAATCTAGATGAATCAAGAGCCACAGATTTAAAAATCCTTTCCAGGCATCAACACCTCTTCCCCTTGGATTGACTGGATGCTGCTTCCAGGTGCAACCAGGGATTTGGGGGTATCTTTTCTCTCCCTTTGTCACAGTTTTTCTCTAACCCACAAGTAATTGGAAAGCTTCCTACTGCTACCCCTGTATGTGTCCTTCTGGCTGCTAGTTTCAGCTTGGTCTGCCCTCTAGGA